GGCCTAAGCAGCCGAATACCAAGCTATGGATTCAATCCATAGCTTGGTGCTCGGCTGCAGATCTCTGGCAGAACCGAGCCACAGATTCAACCCATAGCTCGGTTCTTGGCTGCAGAGGCCTTCTGGAAAGGACTCTGACTGAGAAATGCAGGCCAGGCTGCAGAAGAGGCCTTAGAAGAAGTAGGCCAGCAAGGCCTGGCTGCCAGGTGAGTGGGTGTGGGGCGGGTGGGGCAGCTCCACCCCCCCACCACCACCCTAGCTTGATTTTTAGGTGTGTGCCTCGCTTATTTTTGGGATAGGGCTTATATTAGGCCCACCCCCAAAAAAATCAAGCTAGGGCTTATTGTTGGTATAGGCCAGGGGTAGGCAACCTTGGCTCTTTTATGACTCGTGGACTTCAACTCCCAGAATTCCTGAGCCGGCACGGCTCAGCTTGGAAACCTCTCCCTTTCCCTCAGCATGGCTGGCTCAGGAATTCTGGGAGTTGAAGTCCACGAATCATAAAAGAGCCAAGGTTGCCTACCCCTGGTATAAGGCCTTACTTTCGGGAAAACACAGTATATAGTCAAGGACTATATTTGTAATATCTTTGTATACCTCTATTATAAGACTCTTTTAAGATGAAAAGAGTCAAACTATATGGGTTTGTTGTTATTTTGCAGAGACGTAGCTTCAGCCCTGTTGAAGATGTGTGCATGGAAATTTTTGTAACTCTGGACAAGTCTCCAATCAAGTCCCGTTACAAGCTGTTTTGGCACTAACGCTGCCGGAGGATGCTACCAAAGAGACATAATCAGCAGACCTGCTGGAGAAACCTATTGTGACTCTTAGAAAGATTAGTTAGTTAACACAACCCAGTTAGTTTTCCCGGGCCTTCTGGGTGATAGTATTTCAAAGACAAAGGGACAATCAAATCAGGCTTTATGGTGGGGAAATCTGTGCTACCGTGTGGAGGGCCACCTCTGGTGCCGAGCGAGGTTAAAATACGATGCGTGGAAACCAGAGATTCTCCTGGGCTCAGAACTAAATGATGGAAGAAAAGCATTGGGAGCCAAGAGCGGGTTTTTTTTTTCCAGCTTTAAGTGTTCTTTTGAGGAAAGCAAAACTTGCAAGTCATATGGATGGAGAGAGAGATGCTGGTGCATTCGAGAATGATAGCCAGCAATGAGGACTGTTGGGAACTGTAACTGAACATCTGGGATGTCTAAAATTCCCCCATCCATTTTCTACTTACTGCTAAACAAAACAAGGGTGGTGATATGTGACTACTTTTCAAGCTGGCCCAGAAGCTCCAAGCAGCTGGCCAGTTGTTTGGAGACACACACACATACACCCCAAAAAATCAGAGCATGTTTGTCTGTTTGTTTCTTGCCTTTATTAGTTTGATAAATAACTCAAAAGGTGGCTAATTTACCTAATATTCCTTTCTCCACCTATTCTTTGCATCGGCTGCAGTGACTGATCTTCACACTCATTTAAAATGTTGTTGCCGTGAAAGTCCAGATTACTTAATTTCTAAGTATTTCTACAGTTACATGCTGTAGTTGTTCCTAGCTGACAAGTCAAATGATGGTGCTGTCAATAAACCATGGTTAAATGATAAAGCAGCACAATGTGAGGGCCAGTAGGAGATTTTTCTCTCCCCTCTTCCCTTTTCAAATTGTTATATCAACCCAACATGTTAATAGTTTAAGTCTCATTCTTTTTTTTTTTCAGAGTCAGCAGCCCGGCCACGAATGAAATTTATAATTATTTTTTATTTTGCCTTCCTCTCCTTCAGCCACAAAACTAGTCACAACTGGAGGGCTGCTTGATGCACTATAAACAAGAGGCCTTCAAAACTTCCAGCTTCCAATTTAAAAGTCTGGGATTCTGCCTTGTTATAAGGCATTCATTAAGATCTAACCACAAAACCAAAACAGTTTTAAAAAAAAATGCTGTGGGATAAAATTACTCCATGTTGAACAGAACTGTTTTCTTAGAATTTTTTTGTTTTTTTTAAATGCACATTATTTGCAAATTGGGTAACTGGACAGATTATTCAGCCAACAAAACAAACGAACGAGATGCTTTCTTTCTTCAACAGCACGCGGCCAGTGGATGCTTTATTCACACCCTGAAAACCCTTACCTTCCTTGAGGCAGTAATATGTTATTAACTCCTCCTAGCTTGACGTTGATCTTCAAGCACAGATTGGACAGCGTCTGGGGGGTCGTCCTTTGCACGTTTTTCATCTGCACACACTGCGTGGCCATTCCCAACACGGTGTCACCCACGCGCTTCACCTCGGCTGCCGAGTCGGAGAGACGAAAAAGAGATTCTGTTCAACAGATCACGCTGAGGCTCTGATAGCTACTTTGGTTGCTTAACCCCACCCAGCACCAACTGTAATCTATTCTCTTTATTACAGCATCTTCTCATAATGCCCCTCTTGAGATAAAGTAGGGGAATATTAAGGAGAAGGCCACGGACCATATAATAATAATAATAATAATAATAATAATAATAATAATAATAATAATAATAATAATAATAATAATAATAATAATAATAATAATAATAATAATAAAGTTGGAAGGGACCTTGGAGGTCATCTAGTCCAACCCCCTGCTCAGGCAGGAAGCCCTATACCATTTCAGACAAATGGCTGTCCAGTCTCTTCTTAAAAACTTCCAGTGTTGGAGCATTCA